ATTTGTTAATTTAGACAATGGTGGTGGAATGACTCTTGATCATTTGCGACAATGTATGCCCTTTGGGTATTCTGTAAATGACACAGCCAGTAGAACAATTGGACAATGTAAGTGCCATCTTTTTTTTTACATTTTTTAATATTATTTATACTACCAGATGGAAATGGTTTCAAAACAAGTACAATGCGCCTTGGTGCAGATGTCATTGTATTTTCAAAATCAAACATTGCAGTAGGTGACAGGTATAAGAGTTGACTGCCATATTTTTCGCCACTTTATTTAACATTGTGTACAGATTTATTCAAAGTGTGGGATTACTCTCTTATAGCTTTCTCCGTGATACAGTGCAGCAAGATATTATAGTTCCAATGGTTTTGAGTGGATAAATTCTCTTAGATGTGTATTCATCACATTGTTCATATTTGCAGCTGGATTATGAAGGATATGGGCTTGAGTTAAAAGAGATCCATAAATGTACACATCAAGATTGGAAAATTCGTATGGACGTAATCACTAAATGGAGTCCTTATCAAAATGAAGAATCTATTCATAGCCAAGTAGGTACTCTAGATCAATAATCTTAAGTTATGTGTCTCTACTATTCAAGTTCAAGAAAATTAATGACCAAGGGACAAGAATAATTATCTATAATCTTTGGGAGAATGACGAGCAACAAATTGAACTAGACTTCAAATCTGATCCTCATGTATGTTTTATATTTTAAAATTTTACTTTTCTGACACCCATCAAGGATATCTGAATTAGAAACGGTCGACATGACATACATTGTGAAATGGCAAACAAATATTCCAGTATTAAGCACTTTTTCCTGTACAAAAGTTCTCTACGGGTAAGAAAAAATTTAAAATACACTTTCTCATCCACTCAGGTTTGCAGGTATATATTTCAATGTTGTATTTGCATCTACCAGAAAACTTCAAGATCACTCTTCGAAATCAAGAAGTTAAACACTCTGACATAAGGAGTGATGCAATGCATATAGAGCAGTTTAATTTCAAGTTTCAAAATGATTTAAAAGTAGTTGTCCCCATTATTAAAATTTTCTTTGATATTTATTCAACTTTGAATGTAGATGTCTGCAAAAGTACACTTTTGGTACACACAACAAATAGATATACAAGGATTTAATGTCTACCACAAAAACCGACTTATTAAGGTAACCAATCATTCAAAAAGATCATTTTTCTCATTTAATATATGACAGCCCTTTTGGAAAATATGGAATTCATCACGAAAACAAGGGCGAGGTGTCTATGGCAAGTTTTACTATTCTACTATTAGTCTTTGATACATTCTTTAAGGTTATTTAGGAGTTTTGGAAGCAAACTTTGTGGAGCCCACTCATGATAAACAAGGTTTTGAAAGAACACCTATTGTTCAACAATTAGAGTATCAACTGCAAATCATGCAGAAAAGATTATGGTTGGCTTGTTTGTTTATACCTTTTTACTAAGTTCTTTTTCTACACAGGAAGGACTTTCAGAAAAAGCAGACCGATAGACCAGTTGCTGATGTTGCTTTTGCTACCGAGAAGAAAAACATGATGCATAAAGAAAAAACTTTATACCAGTTTCAGAATGAACAACAAATAGAACATCTTCACGGTAGAACCTTTTAACACAAGAATGATGTTTCTTTGCTAAAATATATTCACAATGCTAATCATTGTCCTTAGATTGCGAGGACACAGAACATTTTCAAAGAAAAGCAAAGAAGGGATCGGAATCTCACTTTGCTAATGAAATAGATAAGGTATTTGGTGTAAATTTGTGAGAAACATAACTTAAATTTAAGCTAACTCAAAATCTGATGATTTCCAGAATGTAAAATCACAAATGGCAGAGTTTCTATTTAGAAAAAAAACAGACACTGAGATCACCTCCACACTGAAAGATGCTCAGCCAATACATAACTTCCCTAAACTAGCTACATTGAGGAAACTATCACTGAAGTACGTATGAATTGTATCTATTACTGACTTCAAATTTCCATTTCAGAGCGGAGGCACATCTAAACATGGCAGTTGCTGAAAATCCAAAAGAATGTACTTGATCTTCCTCTAATCCCTCTCAGATGATTTTGTATTTTTTGAGCTGTATTTGTTATTATTACAGATTCAACAGCTGAACGGAATGATAAGTCTTATCAAGCAGTGGGCTATTCAATGAGCATGACAAATATTAAAATGAGATTGAGAAAAAGGAAAAACATCGTGTCTTACAGATATTAAAAAATAGATTGAGAAAAAAAGTTTTAAACTATACTATGGTCCTCTCATCATTAATTAGAATGATGGTATAAAACAAATTTCAAATTGTCAGAAAATAAACTAAATAAATCCAAATAATACAGCTCATCCAGCCGAACCAGATAGCAGCCCCCATGGAAGAGGAAGTCCATGTACGTATGGACGAGCTCCACCTGTGTAACAGACCACACGACATAGTTCCTCTCCTCAGGTGAGTGTGAAGGGTTTGGATTTGGCACACCAGCTTCTGCTTTAAAGGCAAAACCCAGCAGCAAACTTTGTTGAAAGGGAACCAATTTCTTAGCTTTGACAAAGTAGCACTGGCTTTTGCACCGTAATTTTTAAATATTACAGCTCTTCAACGATGGTTTGCAATAGTTCCCATTACTCTACTTGGTAGATAGAAATATTGCTCTGCTGAATTACAATCATTTGGAACCTGCATAAAAAAAGGCTTACACTTGACTTTTGTGTTTCTGGATTACACAACATCAACTTCTAGCATACAAGACAAGCATTCTTTGTGCAAAAAAATCATCCAGCACAAGACCATTATCACAGTCATACACTAGAAACCATGAGGAAACCAGGAGGAAGAGCGATACAGTATGAAAGAAAATGCGAGATAACTGACACAGTTCAAGCAGTGTACATGGATGGGAGCGGAAGAGGTGCAGCAGTACAAGGACTACCGTCCACAACAAGCCATACAGTTAGCAACAGCAATTTTGCATGATTGTTTATGTCTGGTGCTGCTACAGGTCGAGCATTTGACACGGGGTACCAGGGTAGTGGAGTAGACTTGCTTTATGATGCCCGACTGAATTTTCACGTACCGTTTGTCTCTTCCAGCTTAACGGCTGGGGTAGGACGAGGGTGGTTCGAGAGTTACATCGGAATCAGGTGTGGATCTTTTACTTGTCGCTGGGTTCTAACACCTGTTATCTTCAGCCTTTAGATTTTTTGAAAAGGTTTCCTTAACCGTGTAAGACAAGCACCGGGAAATGGAGATTACACAGGCCATCTCACATGCATGCCCTACTGTCTGGCTTATTGGATCGCATGCTTTGAGCAGCTGGTTGGAGCTGGTTGGATTCGTCTGATTTTCAGACGAAGAATCAGATAAAAAAAGAAAGAAAAGGAAAGTGTTTTTCCTGGGAGTTGTTTCCCTTCGCACACACTTGCCATATAAAAGCTTAAGAATGCATCAAGTACAAATAAACGAAGATCAAACTGTTTCGCTATGGATCAAAATGGTGTTCAGTAGTTGCATTCATAACCAGCAAGTGTAGCTGGAATTCGAGTGTTGGAAGATGCATCAGACACAATTTTGTGCTTATCTGGACGCAATCCGTTTCCATGGGCGTTGTAATCCTCTTTGGTCCTTATAACCTTGGTAACAAAAGGGAAAGACCTAGAAAAACGCCTGTGACTAGACATGACCATACTGTGTCGGTTCTCTGTGATTTTCAAGTCATGGAACTCCATCACCAGCGATTCATCCTTTTGCCGCCGGCAGAATCAGGATAGTAAAGCAAAGATTCCTTGCGTGTTATGACTACCTTCTTGGATGTGACGCGCTGCGCCTGGGATCCATTATGGGCGAACCACTTTGAGAAGTTTACAAAACCTTCACAGAACGTTTATGTCTCTGCTTCTGCAGGTGGCTTGGGATGAATCGACAAGGCCACGATTCCTTTAAGTTTTCTAGAGCACTTGCTGGTGGGAAAGAGGAGCCGTGTATTGCCACAGTTGTTATTAAACATGAAAATCGGTAGATCGTGGGAAGGGCTTTTGGCCGGTAGTGTAGAATCAGATTTTTTTTAAAAACAATGAACAAGAACTTAAGTTTTTCAAGAAGATAAACTACTTTTGCCACTAACTCTTCTGGAGAGGGAGGAGGAAGATAAAGTCGTAATCTTTTTTCCCCACTAATACAAGAATAAATTTTATTATTTCAACCAATGCATATGCATCAAGGCAGTGATAACAACGTTGCCAACGGTTTGATAAATGTGAACATTAGATAGCAGATATCACGGAGAAACCCTATCGTGAACAATCATGAAGTGCACAGATGATGGGATCAGAAGGGTCAAAGAAAATTCGAAAGAGGAACTCGTGTTGCGTGTGACGAATATAGATTCAAAGCCTGGTGCTCTGACCAAGAAGTTCTCTGTCACGGATGACAGAGAAATACTCGAGGCAATTGCATCACACCGAGTTTCAAGTTTAATAGATTCATGTGGTGCCCGTCTGAATTCGTTTGTAAAATTCCTAGACTACGCGTTCCTTGAGACAAATGGGAAACAGTAAGTGTATTTTCCTTTTGACAGAGCATTTTAAACACCAAAATATTCTGTAGGTCATTGATTGTTTCGGATGCATGCTTCCTGGATGGTGGAGTATGGAAGCGCACACACTCAAACCCTATCCTTCAAGATATGAAAGTGGTAAATCCTTTCTTTGGTTTTAATTCTAAAATAACTGCTACAATTGAACTTGCCAGGGACAAAAACGAGCCCAGGAGTCCATGGAAAAGGTATTTCACGTCTTAACCAGTTTATTCAATTTGTTCCCTTTGATACAGGGAGAGAGCTCAAAAAAGGCCGTCATAAAAGAGGTGTTCATCAAAGAAATCAGTGACCGTTCTTACAGGTGATCCTTCCGTGCAAGAGTCACACACAAGAACAAGTTGATACATTTCAACACGAAAAGATCTGGACGCATAATGTCATTTGACGTTGTCGATGTCCAGGGAACAGAGATTAGAATTATTGGCTCCGACGATTGTGCCTTGGTTTTGTCAGATAAGATTGTACAGGGTACAGTGTATTCATTTTCTGGTAGTGGTGGAATACGACGTTCCAATCAGGCATACACACCATTTGAAGTGACATGGGAGATTCAGGCTAACAAAGGTATGGAGTTTACAGCTTTGGATGAGGATGCAACGTTCCCAAGAATTGTCTTGGCAAAAACAAGCATATTAAGTGCGTGTCAGAAGGAAAGGGACTCTTTTGTCGATGTGGTTGGTATCGTAATATGGATCGGTACAATTACAGTAACATCTCGTGACAGTGGAACTTTTGTGAAGAAGAGAACATTGTGTCTAGGTGATGATTCAGGCCACAGTGTTGATCTATGTCTCTGGGATTTAAAAGCAGAAGAAGAGGGCTCATATATACAGGAGCGGATAGACAGTGGAGTTCAGCCAATAATATGTGTCAAGGGTGGAAAGGTATCGGACTACAATGGTAAATCACTTTCAGCAATTGGTGTGAGCACCATTCTTATTGAACCGGAAATGGAAGCAGTGGCTGATTTGAGAGAATGGATGACATTGTACTACAATGTCACTAACTTCATACATTTGAGCACTTCATCATCCAGACAGACTGTTAGCTGCACCACTACTTTATCAGAGATATCAAACATGCAGTTAAAGGTGTTAGAGAGTTCCCCTATCTATAGAGTGATAGCTACTGTGAAGGAAATGAAGACAGATGAGTTTTACTATAATGCATGCATCAATGTCTTGAATGCACGGCAATGTGGCAAAAAAACTACCCGAACAGCAGATGGTTGGTTCTGCAGTTATTGCAATATTGAGTCTGCCAACATGGAGTTCAAGTATGCTCTAAAGATGTGCATCGAGGATAGTAGCAGTCATGTGTGGGCCATTGCATTTCAAGAGGCTGCACAGGAAATAGTGGGAATGTCAGCAAAGGAACTAGCTACAATGCGAGATGAGAACTACCCTGCATTCTCACTACTTATCGATGGTATCCGCTCAAAGATTTACAAATTCAAAATCTGGAGCAAGCTTGAAAAATACCAAGACATGGAGAAGCTAAGGTTCTATATACTTGGACTTGACACCTAAGGTATGCAGATTCCATTCTAATCTTTTACACGTTGATATATTTATCTGTGTTTTGTTTTGTAGTTACATGGAACTTGCAAAAACAAATAAAATAAAACACACCTCCTAGCAAACATCAGCTCTGTTTGATGGTTATCTGTAGCAAGAAAGGAATATCAAGATACAAAAACTAAAAAAGGGAAAGAACAACAACACATGATTCTCAAGTGGACAATAAATGACAAATGCACCAACTGTATCAGAATTTAGCATGTTATAATGAACAAACACATAGTCCACCAGAAAATACAGTCATTTATACTTCAATACACATCACTTGCTTGCAGATGCAAAACCAGCAATTCTATACCAAAAATCCCTTTACCATACCATCCCATTAACTGCTCTTACCTCTGGAATGCCCAAATAATATACCAAATTGAGGAATATGATTGAGCCACCTCTTCATGTGTTGAATAATTCTTTTAAGCTTTGAGTCCAAGCTTGTATTATTCTATTCCAGTTAAACATTTAAGAAATAGTGTTTGGTTGCAATCACTAAGTAAAAACTAAATAAACCAAGTGCTTGTTACATATTGAACTAAAGCAAGTTTTAATAAATTGTTTTCTTTTTTGGATTAACATCTAACTATCCCAGCGGAGCTGGGTTCCCTGCTAGTTGTAATGTTTAAGAGACATTGGAGTACAAATATTCCTAACTGATTCTTGAGATAATCCCGCATCAGCATTGAGACGTCATCTATAGTCGTCCAAGCAAAAGCCATTCTCTTTATTGTTTCATATGTTTATTTGGGATCTTACAATGGGGCATTGATAGAAACATTTTATTAAAACAAGCAAACTTTTTTGGAAGCCCACATTTCGTATATCCATGGTTTAATATGGAATTGCTTTTGATAACTTGCAAATAAAATTAAATTACAATCATTTTGAAGTATTAGATATGAATTTACAAAACAATTTTTAGTTTTACAATTTGTACCTGATGCCCATAAAGATTTTTCATTCTTTTCATATAAAACTAGATTACCATCTTCCTGGAGCCTCAACTTACAATTTGTACCTCTATTTGCAGTTTTAGTAGACCATAATATAAGATTTTTGTAATATAATATTAAATTACAAATGCTATTGAGATATAAATGTGCTTTTCCATTTGGGGAAACTAAAAAAAAATTTGCTGACAAATACTGATGTGGCATATTGATATAGCCACTTATTAATGTACTAAGAAAAATATTACATTTAATCATGTTACCAACTGAAGTTAGTAATTCAGGTCTACGAGGAATATAGTTTCTTATCATATATTGAAAAGCATAATGTTCAGTTATAACAGTAACATAAGAAGCAGCAACATTTACTATTTGACCATAAGCTTCTTCCAAAAGTGCACCTAAGTCACCTCTTATAACAGATCCAGGATCAGTACCACCAGCTGCATTCATTGCACATTTTGCAAATGATCGTTCAACTCTGCTATAAATCCAAAGACTAATAGAAATAGTTGTACTAGTTCCATCGTCATGTTCAAGTACAGCTGTACCATCTTGTCTTTGACCTCTTGGATAATTATCATTGGTTATGACAGCAATCATTCCTCCAATACCATTTAAAATCGCACGAACAGAGTCGTCATCTAATGCATTTAACTCACCATAATCAATTTGATAAGAGGATTGTACTTGTGAAAAAAAACTAGATAATAAAAATAAATTAAAAAAATAAATAAAATTCATAATTAGTAATATATAGTACTAAGATTTTATTATAGTAATTTTCTTGACAACCCCCTTATCCCATATCCATATATATGTAGTATTAGCTTGTATTTTAACCTTTTATACAATCATTTAAGTAACATAAAAAAGTGGTGTAATCCTTGAGAATTGCGTCATTATTAAACGACAAAGGCGGGGAAGAAGGCGGGAAGCTCTCCGGCGGAAGTCTAAGAATATAAAAATGTCCCAAACTAAACTTAACTTGGACTCAAGCCTCGCCACTAAGTGCTTGGAACCGCAAATGCAGTGAGCTCGTCAGGCTTGATGCCATCAAGCACCATGAGCTGGAAGAAATGAAATGAATCTTCCATTAGACCATTCTGGACATACGCCTGGATCATAGAATTATCGAATGAAAAACGTTGCCAACCTCTGCACAAGCCAGCGGCCGTCCCATAGGTATGTCAACCTAAGAAGTTCCCACTGTTTTCAGTGGCTTCACGGAATATGTTATGCCCGTGAAATGGCGCGACGAAGAAACGCTCCATTACCTCTCGCGAGCCGTGAGATCTTGTGGGATCAATCGGGACCTCGCGGAGGGCAAGCGCATCCACGCAAGAATTCTCGAAGGAAGCCACAGCAAAAACAGGTATCTCACCAATCTCCTCATCGAGATGTATGGGAAATGTGGCAGCCTCGAAGACGCACAATCGGTGCTCGACTCCATCGACAACCCAAATCGCTTCTCCTACACGCTCATGATCCAGGCGTATGCCCACAGCGGCCACGCCCGGTTCATGCGCCAGGCGCGATTCTTGCTGGATCGAATGCCTGAGGCCGACGCTGTCGCAGCCAACATCATGATCAAGGGATACATACGACTGGGCGATCTTTGCAGCGCCCAAGAGATCTTTGACCGGATGGATCACAAGACGCTGGCAACCTCGAGCCTCATGATCGCGGCATATGCCCAATGTGGGCATCTCTACGAATCCTGGAACTTGTTCTTACGAATGGAAAGCCGGGACTTTCTTATCTGGACGGCACTTGTGACTGCGTGTGCTGATATTGGTAAACTCGACGAAGCTCTTCGAGTGCTTCATCAGATGCCCAAGTGGGATGTTGTCCCGTGGACTGTTGTTCTTACAGCATTTGCCCGGTTTGGGCATTATGATTCTGCTAGAAGACTATTTGATAGTATGCCGTACACAGATAGGATCTCTCAAAATGCAATGCTCAATGTGTATGGACAAGATAATAGGACTCACGAATTGAAACAGCTCTTCCACAACATGCCCGAGCGGGATATCATAAGCTGGACTTCTATGATGGCCGCAAATGCTACACAAGGTAATGTGGGCGATGCGCGAGGCTTGTTTGACAGGATCCCGCAGCGGAACACTGTGGCATGGAACACCATGATCCAGGCTTACGCCGAGAAGAAAAACCTCCATGAGGCTCTCTCGATGTTCATGGCGATGGAGCAGCCGGATGTCATCTCCTGGACGCACCTTATTGCTGCCTTCTCTGAAAATGGATTCCTTGATCAAGCCAAGTTCATGTTTGACAGGATCCCTCTGCGAGATATGGTCTCTTTCAATGGAATGCTTGCGGCTCTCCTCAAGAACGATCGTCTTGACGATGCCAAGGCAATGTTTAATGAGATCCCGGAGAGAAACCTGGCATCCTGGAATCTCTTGATCGGTGGGTTCTCGGACCGAGGAGAGCTTGACGCCGTGAAGCATTCGCTGGAGATAATCCCGCAGCGAGACTTCATATCGTGGAACTCATTGGTGGCAGTCTATGTCCAAGCTCATCAGCTCGACCAAGCAAAAGCCGCTTTTGACGAGCTTCCCCAGCGAGATTGGTCGTCATGGAATCTCTTAGTCTCGGGTTACGCTCAAACAGGAAAACTCCAAACAGCGGCACAATGGTTCGGTCGAATGCCGCAGTGGAACGTTGTCTCATGGAACGCTCTCATCGCCGGCCATGCCAAGCATGGCGTCGAGTCGATTGCATTGAATCTCCTCTCGAGCATGAGCCTGGAAGGAGTAATACCAGACTCAACCACATTTAGCAGCGTTTTGGCCGTCTACAGCCACAAAGGGATGCTGGCCGCCTGCCGAGAAATCTTTGGACTCATGGTCCGAGACCACTGGATCGATCCGAGCTTACAGCAGTTTTGCGGCGTGGTGGACGCCTTGGGCCGGAGTGGCAAGCTGAGCGAGGCTGAGGAGCTTGCGTCTGCCATGCCTTATTTGCCAAACCGTGCGGTATGCAATGCACTACTCGGTGCGTGTAACATCCATAGCGACGTGACTCGCGGTGGTAGAATGGCAAGCTGCGCAGTGGATGTGGCTCCAAGCTCAGGTACCTCCTACGTGCTCTTGTCCAATATGTCCTCTTGATGATAATTTAAAAATGTTTCTGTATTATTCTTGAATTCTTAGGCTACTATATATTAGCCCAGTGAAATTATAAAAGGAGAGAAAAAAGATACTGGAAGAATTAATAACATATAAAAGTAAAGACATATTTTAGTATTTTGAAGGCTGATAGTTTAAATTGACTTACGCTATTTTTCAATGTGGCAATTACAAGTAATATTAAAGATTTAACAAAATGATTTTGAATCCCATGCAGGTTTGAATTTGGGATTACTACTAAATGTTTTTTGATATGCATAATATAAAC